TTAATGTACAACCACAGGGCACTTGAACTTTCTTAGGCAAGACTACACACCACGTCCTCTGCAACATTCAACTTGGAGGAACATATTTTTTAGGAATCCTCTCTAGAGCTCCCAACTTGGATTGCTATCATATATTTCCTTCTCCCTCTTAGAAACAATGTCCTTACAGAGCCTCTCCAGTCTCTGCCCCTTCCATATCATCCTTGACCTGGGCTGATGGATTCAAGAGTCACAAGATCACTTCAATTGTATTTTCTCTGTAAGTCCTATGTAAGGAAATCTATCTTAAGACTTAGGATTTGAAATTCAATTTATTGGCACTTAGTGAAAATGTCATGTTAAACATCCTGTTACATGGTATTTTTAGTTGCTTAGTATTACAAATGATTCTGCAGTGCAAGTTTTTGTACATAGATCATTTCATACATGTTCAATATGTTAGATAAGTCCAAGAAGTAGAATTAATTGCTAAAGGATCCTCATTTAAACTTTTGATAGATATTGCTAAATTGATGTTTTCCCAGGTTTATACTCTTATATTCATGTATACATCAATTTATACTCCCAGAAGCAAAAAAATTAACCTACAACACCACTAACAAGACATGCTGTCTACCTTTTGAGCTTTGCCTATTAAATTGATGGTAAAATATATTTCACTGCATTTCTCTTTCTTTGGTTAGAAATAGAAGAGTTACGATTGAGAACTATTTGCAATAATATTGTTTCCTATGTGTTTTTATATGTTTTAGAATGTAAAATACTCAGGGAATTTTTAAATGACTTTTAAGAACTCAAATTTTGAGAAGCTTCCCAAGGCAAAAAATTTAGAAAAAGAGAATCTGAAGCAACGGGAGTCAATAACCAGAGCTGTGAAGTCTCAGACTATTCAACTTTTCTGATTCTTCTAAATTATGCTGACAGCTTGAAGAGTGATGATCATGAAGATCTTCTTATGACTCATACTATCTCCTTCTCTCTTAGCAGAGGATACATAAATAGAGGCTGCATTCTGAGAAATGTGGCGGAAGTCTCTGTTTGGTTGGAGCTCAGTTTGATAAGGGTAGAGTTAGTATTAAGGGAATCAGAGGGAATATTCTTAAGAATGCTGGTATATGAGCAATCCTTAAAATGTGCAGAAATTCTGAATGATAAGTTTTCAATTAGATTTTATTATATTTAAATGTTATGCATCAATGGCAAACGAATGACCAAAATATTTAGGCCTATTTTTAATCTAAAAACATTAGAAGTCTATAAATGTCAAAATGATATGGACACCTGCTTAGAAAACCTTAAAGTTTGTGTTCTTTCTTAAGTTGGATAAAATGACTATAATGCTCTCTCTGTTATTTCAGATGAACATTGACATTCAGTGCCCGTTAGTGTGGGATCTTACACAATTCAAGTTCTATATCGAGCGTATAATTTATGTCCAATGACACGCTCTCCTGAACTGCTGACGGTAAAAGAAAAGACTTCTTTCACTCCTTTCCCGTGAAAAATACAGGGCCAGGAAATGAGAATGCAGAATTCAGGTTTTTTGATCTATTTAGAGAATCCTTGTTTCTGAGTAATCCACATAAGTGTTGTAACACTACTTAATGAGTAAACATTGGGTCAAAAAACATCCCAAGGATAAGATAACTTGCTACGTTTGAATAAAACCTATATTGTTTTCAAGCTTCTGGCCCAAACAGCATAATCATTTTCGCTCAGGTGATTTTTCTCACCTCTCTTATTGAATTGGCGCTGCCTCCAGAATAGTACATGTAATCCTCACTTTGCACGGCAGTGCAGGGCCATTTAAATGACCAAGCAAGCTGAGACCACACAAAGTGATCTTCATAAGTGATGGGGAAAATCACATTTGCCCCATGACCTTTAAAAATGTTTCTTAAAACTTTAAAAATTCTCTCATAATAGCTTATAAATATATAAGGAAATTTTAAAAATACTATTTACTTAGTACATTGTGATTTAAAATATTAGAACCATTGAGAATTCAATTTCTTTGTACTTTCAACGAGAATAGTTTGAACAGTGCTTGCCTTCTCTTTGTCATTGTATAACTTAAGACACAAAAAAAGCATCTTTCCTGCTTCGGGGCATTGTCATGGTGCTGTCTAAGTTTTGATCAGCTTCAAACATTTTAGCCTTCATGTTTTCAATATTGTAAAATATCTAAATATCTCTGAGAGTTCTCTCAATGTGAAGTCACTTTCTCTAGAGCAGCTTTATCCTTTTCATCACAACCTCTTGCCCAACTTATGTAAATAAGTTCACTCACACTAAGTTCCTCTGGCTACATATCCACAGTCTCTCAATGGACCAATGTCAACATTCCCACGGTCAGCTATTTCTTCTACAGCTCCATTTATGTTCATTTAATTTGCTATCTCTTGTCTCTCCAGGGTACTTTCATCTTTGTTGACCAATTCATCTGTTGATTATGCATTTGTGTCAAATATCATATGGGCCTATCACTGGGAGACAAAGAAGCAACACAACAACAGGCTGAATAACAGATATGCAGTGACCAATCACCAACTAATTTTAAAAGAAGTGACATGATTCACGATGGGCACCTGTTACGGACACCGTGATTATGGACTGAAGAGCTCGCAAGAAGTGTGCACTATACGCACTTACTCAGTTAATATGCCATAGCAACTAAAATTCTAACCATATTGTTGAAGGACTGCTGTTAAGTAAGTCACAGTAACTGAAATTCATGCATATGGAAACCGTGCAAAGCAAATAGTGACTTGCTATAAATAGAAATGATGTGTTTATTTCTTTATTCATAAGGCCTTACTTTTGGAAACAAATAGTTCTTCTTTCTAGGTGTACTTTAAGAATATGGGAGAAAAAAGTAAACAGAATAATAGGATCTAGTGAGAGTTTATTCCCATGTACATATCTGCATTGTACTTTAATAAATAACTTACATAATATTTATTATGACAGACATTTTTCTAAAAGCTTTACAAACATGGTCTCCTTTAGTCATCTTAGCAGCTAGTTACTATCTTAGCAGCTAGTTACTATCATTTTGCCTCTTAAAGATGGGAAATAGGAACAAAGAAGGTAAGTGACTTGCCTAAGGTTACATAGCGAGTAAAAGGAGGAGCAAGATTCAAACCCAGGCACTCTGGCTTTGGAAGCTGTGCTTTCTTTCAGCCATAACGCTGCCTTGTGCCATCAGCATGTGTTACTAATTCTGCAAGTAACATATTATCAGGTCATTGCTCTTTCTAGTAGAGTTCTATTTCATTTATTGTTGTAGTTTATGGTACAGAATTCAATACACAAAACTGCATTGTTTGCAACAGAGATTACTAAGACCCCACACAACTTAGTGGGGAGGTTGTGCCTCCCAGCATGAAGGCAGAGAAAAAAACAAAACAGGGCCCTAACCAGTTTGGCTCAGTGGATGGAGCGTCAGCCTGCAGACTGAAGGGTCCCGGGTTCAATTCCGGTCAAGGGCACATGCCCAGGTTGTGGGCTCTATCCCATTATCATTGATGTTTCTGTCTGTCTCTCCTTTTCCCTTCCTCTCTGAAATCAATTAAAACATACATATTAAAAAAACAAACACACACACAAAAACAGGGATCATGAAATGAATAAATCTCTACTCAGATTACAAGGATCTCTGAAGGGAAATATGCAAGCCAATTCTACTAAAATTTAAATGGCATCAATTTTACTTTGCTTTCCAAACAACTGTCCATCCCTCCAACCACTAAACCTAAAAATTATAAAAGTTAATTTTGGTGAACCTGACAAACATATTAGAAGGATAAATAACTGTAGGTAAACGCAACTGATAAAACACAGCAAGTTCAAAAATATTATGTCTGTTTGGAGTAATCAGATAACAGTCTGCTTCATTGGAATTGTGGTTAAAGATTAAAATGGTTGTTTATTTTTAAATCTCCTTGTGTTTCATTGCCACTTCCTGAATGTCTGCTTGGTGCCTAGCAACTGCCAACCATCCAATTTTCAATGCTGTCTTTTTCTCTCTTTGGCAAATAAAAAGAAAAACATCAAAAGGTTATGCAGGCTGTTACTAAAAATAACGTACTTCATAAAATGATATGAATGACCTGGAATAAGTCATTCATGAATATAAGATCACAAAGAAGAGCACAGTAAAGGGTCTATTTCACATAAAGTCTTTCTTTTCAATTCCTGAGTCCAGTTCCACTAGTTGTAAGAACTTCTTTATTATCTGTACAATAGATCTTGGTTTGTGAGTGATTTCACTGAAAAGGAAGAAGAAATGAGAGACTCTATACTAAAGGAAAATTAGTGAAATTGTGTAAGAAGTATATAAACTAGAGACAAGAGACAGACTTTATCCCAGACCAATGAATTAACCAATGTAGTCAGCAGTTTCTATTAAGAAGAATCAAGCTATATGACCTCTAGTTAATTAAAAAATTAATAATATCCTAAGAGGTAGATCATAAAGAGAACTCAAAAAAGAAAAAAGGAGAATCAAACTATTTGATCTCTAAATTCCTTTCAGTTCAAAATGTGAATAATTCTACAAAAGCACTTTAATTATTTTAAGGTCATCCAGTAAACTGTAACCTTCATTACCGCATGCTGTTCAATGCTGAAATGCCTTAATTGGATTCCCATTTCTCTTAGAATACAATCCAAATTCTTTTTCATGGCCCAGGAAGCCCTGAATGTTCTCTCTCCACAAGCTTCTCTCCATTCTCTCTGTTCCCATTCCTAGGTCAGTTATTTACACTTGCTAAGCTGATGTCTGTCTCACGGATGTTGCCCATCCTTCTCCTTAAACATCTTCAGTTCCACCTTCTTGGCCTTTAGGTCTCAGCTTAGATGTCACCTCCTCTTTCTCAGAGAGGCATTCCCTGTCCAGCTGACAAGAGGGAGCTTTTCTCCAGTTAATCTTTATCACCTACTCTATAGCCCATACCACAACTTGAAATGATCTGATTACTTGCGCTTATCTGCTTTCTTCTATAGAAGAGCATTAGCTGCCTTATTCCACCATGTGTCCCCTTGAACAGTGTCTGGCAAATAGTAGGCATTAAATAAGTATTTTGAGAATAAATGAATGATCATATATCATTTACTGATGCACTATTAATGCCAAAGGAAAATGCTTGGTATGTAGTAGGCAATTTACTATTTTCTAAAGTATTTTCTTAATGTAATTGAATGAGTGAAACTTTATCACATTCTTATAAAGGTGTCAGTATGAATTTTCAACTACGTATTCTGTATCACTGCTATAAAATATTTCCACAAACTTGGTAACTTAAAACAACACAGTTATTACTTTATAGCTCTGGAGGTCAGAAGTCTAACATGAGTCTCATGGAGCTAAAATCAAGGTATTAAGAGAGCTGCATTCATTCTGGAGAGTCTAGGTAGAATCTGTTGCCGGAAGCTGGTCCATCCTTGCTGCTTGACACAGTCACTGCAGGGAAGAAACATCTGCACAGCATATGTTTCAAGGGACCTGGCGTATATGGCATACTGTTCTTAATATGTTTGCTCCCCTTCTTGGCGCTATGTGTTTTAACCAAGGTCACCTCTCCGAGAAAGGTTGTTTCCCCAGGTAGGGATTTTTCCCTGAAGTTAGGGCGGGTATAAAACCCCTTTACGAACAGTCACGCTTAAGCTACATAATCTTTACTCCCTGGAATGGAGATAAGAAACGCCCTAACCTTTGGAATAGAAATTGATAAGATTAAAATCAACTGGTATAAATACAGATGTAACAGGAGAATAAAGGTAGAACATGGCTAGAGCTGGCGGGAGAACCTCGCTATGCTGATCAACTGAACACAGCCTCCGTGTCCTTCATTCTTCGCCAACTCCGTCCACACCTTTGGGAACCCCTGGACCTGCTGGGGCTGGACCCCAACAATCTGTCACCTTGCCTTTTCCAGTTTGTAGAAGAAGCCTGCATTCCTGGGCTCCTGGCCCCAATTCCATCTTTAAAGCCATGTGGCCATTTGAGTCTTTATCATGCTATATCAGTCTGACAATGATACTCCTGACTCCTTTCACTTATATGCACCCCTGTGATTATATTGAGCTTACCTGGATAATCCAGAAGAATCTTACCTAAACATCCTATTTAATCACATCTGCAAAGTCAATATATTCACAGGTTCCAGGGATTAGGATATGGGTATCTTTGGGGGCCATTATTCTGCTTGCCACATTGTCATTTGGTATGATTCTGGGAACAAATCACCCTTGTCTTGGGTAATCCATTGAAACCTCTTCTCTTTCAAGCATGTGCTACATGGTCTCATTCTGGAGATAAATTTTCCATAAATAATCTTATTTCTCATTTTCCCCTCTCTGGGCTGTGGCCTGAGGGTGTGAGTAATAATCTTTTGCATAAATTGAACTACTATCTTATATGCATGTAAATAGCCTAAAAGTAAACATTGACATCTCTGGACAGACTAAAGAAGAGTCATTTCTGTTGCTGATAGAAGATAATTATAAGAAGAGAAAACACATTCTATTCTCATCATCAAAATAAGGATGACAACATGTATAATGTAAGAAGATAAAATTCAGTGAGCGTCAAGCCAATTGCATCATTATTGGAAGGATCTATCTTTCTAAGGGATGAAGGTGGGATTTGTTTTTTATTATGAAATTTTAAAAAAATAACTCCTCAGAATCTTAACGAAGAAAAGGAATATTTCACACTCAGAACAGACACCAGGATACAAAATTAAAGTGTTTGACCCTAGTCCTCTCCTCCTCTCCTCTATGAGCAGAGATGGGAAGGAGACAGTAAAACAAAGACTTCAGATCCCCACAAATATTATTAAAATATAAACTTCTGTTTTGCTTCTTAAAAAGGAGACCAGGGCACAAGGGCAGGAAGATGGACTCCAAAGCCTGCTTTGAGCGAAGACAGTTCTCACTTGCCTAAGGTAAGTCAGCCTGCACAAGTAAGCAAACCCAGGGGCCTAACACATCAACCTGCCATCTATATATTCTATCTGCCTTGGCACAGCTCGTGTTTCTGGCATTATTTATGAAGGCACTCTTGCTATATTTGCACAGCATGCAGCATTGTTCACAGCAGGATACAGATTATTGTCAATGAATAATAACCCAAAAGCTCCTAACCCTTTTGTGCTGATGCCTAATAACTAAAACAGAAAATAGCCACTTCTCTGTGTTCTGCTTAAGTTTATAGTACAGTCATAAATAACCTACCAGCAGCAGGAGCCATTGGGCATCAGTGACCACCACAGCAAAGTTACAAGTTTTATTGTTCCCTATTATACTATAAGCAATGTTTATTACTAAAACTTTAGTGATGCACCTTAAATGTGGACATCAGAATTTTCTGAAATCTCATATTGCTTGAGTTGTTAATCAAGAAAAGTATACATCAGGTCTGGTTTGGGAACTTACTGTGAAAAAATGGGAAGAACATTGCAGAGAAGTGGAAATCCCTACATAGGCATTATTTTCTCCAAATTATTACAATTGCATGGAAATTCACCTTCTAGCATTCAGTGGACAATGGAGCTTTTGTTCCTACCAACTGGTTTACCTTGTTTTGGCTATTTTCTCTCTTTTCTTTTTCCTGATCCAAGATAATCCTATATAATAAAAGCGTAATATGCAAATCGACCAAACAGAGGAATGACCAGTCACTATGATGCGCACTGACCACGAAGGGGCAGACACTCAATGCAGGAACTGACCCCTGGTGGTCAGTGCACTCCCACAGGGGGAGCGCTGCTCAGCCAGAAGCCAGGCTCACAGCTGGAGAGTACAGGGGCGGTGGTGGGAGCCTCTCCCACCTCCGCTGCAGGCTGGTGGTAAGGAGCGAGGGGTTCCGGACTGTGAGAGTGCCAGACTGTGAGAGGGATGTCTGAAATCCACCCCCCCCAGGGGGATTGGGATTAGCCAGCAGGTGGACATCCCCCAAGGGGTTCCAGACTGCTGGAGAGTACAGCAGCGGTGGTGGGAGCCTCTCCCACCTCCGCTGCCGGCTGGTGGTAAGGAGCGAGGGGTGCCGGAATGCGAAAGCTCCAGACTGTGAGAGGGATGTCTGAAATCCACCCCCCCTCCAGGGGGATTGGGCCTAAGCCAGCAGGTGGACATCCCCCAAGGGGTTCCAGACTGCGAGAGGGCACAAGGCAGGCTAAGGGACACCCCACCCCCCAGCCAGTGCATGAGATTCGTGCACTGAAGCTCCAGTTTTACTATAAACACTAAACATAAACATAAATCTCCCATGGAGACTTTGACTGAAATTGCTGTAATTTTCCTTTGGACTATAAATCTATTATATAAAGTTACATTTGCCTCTATTTTCTGTTACTAAGCAATTATTCCTAATCATATTTTACCCAACAGTACCTTAACATACCTGACCCTAATGTCCCATCTTAAGGGACCACACTAAACTGACTTGTCAATTCAGGTCATCTATTTCAAACAGCCCAGAAGAGTTGTAGGCAAAAAAGGAAATTGCTTAGAAGTTTGGGGGGGGGGGAGACTAAGTTACAATTCCAAATATTGTTAACAATATAAGTTTATAAATCAAGATAAATAAAAATTCACTTAACCTATCCTTTTTATTAATTAAAATAGTACAAGCATTTGGATATATATCATTGTCAATACAAAGTATTTCAAATATTTTATGATTACTAAAAGATGTAAAGGCTAGCCTGATCCAATATACCATTGTTCTAGAGAATGGAACAAAATAGACTTTCCCTAACATTCTTGTTTATAAAAAAGTACAGGAAATGCATTAGGTTCAGATGGCCATCTCTTGGAGCTTATCACCAAGAACAGCTAGAACAACTATGCCAGCTTTAGTTCCTTCCGAATCCTCTCCTCTACTTGTCCCACACTGTTCTTGTTCCTAGCTGTCTGGCCTGCAACATTTATCTCTTGCTTTAGTTATCTATACATGCGATTCAGAGTCATAAGAAAATGTACGTATAGTTTCCATGAGCTTTAGCAAAAAGAAGTTAAACAATAAACTTATCTAAATTGTCCAGAGTATCAGCAGATAGTGAATTACCTTCATTTTCTATGAACTTGGATAAAATTCAATAATTAGGTTGCCACATTTATTCTTCTATAGGCAATAACTTGCTAAAACTTTTGTTTAGTCTATTCTAAATATCAGAACTCATAAAAAATTAATGTAATTTATTAAGTAGTCATTCTTTTCTCTCTTGACACCTAAAATAGGTCAAATTTCTTATTCAGAGATCAAAAAACCTCATATGTATATGTTAGGGTTCTTTGTTGTTTTCTTTTTGACAGTTGAATTGAAGCAAATTAGGTATCAATTAGGTAAAGTTTTAAAACTAATTTCAATGATAAATAAGGGTTGCAAAGTCCTACAGTAAGGCCTAGGATAAAGTGCCAGCCATGAAAACAGGCAAACCTGCAATGAGCCCTTCTATGTGATGTCTGTATTCCTTTGCATTATCTCAACCTTACCTCCCTTTAAGTGGTTAGTTTCTCAATCCCAGCAACTCTGCCTCTTTGGTGATTAGCATGAGAGGCAGCGTTTAAAAGATGCTCTGGCCCTGGCCTGTGTGGCTCAGTTGGATGGAGCATCATCCTGTGCACCTGAAAGTTGTGGGTCCAATTCCAGGTCTGAGCACTTGCCTGGGTTGTGGGCACGTGCAGGAGGCAGCGGTCGATATATCTCTGGTATTCATGTTTCTTTCTTTTTCCCTCTCTTCCTCACTCTCTAAAAAATCAATAAAGTATGTAACCTTTAAAAAAAAAGTGCTTTGGAAGTTCTGAAGAACTACTCCAGCGTCTCTCTATATTTCCCCAGATGCTCTTACAGTAGCACCAGGAAGCCTAGCCATCTGGAAGAATTACCACTGAGGATTTCACCAGGGATCTCAGGACTTGATCATGCCCCTCACACAATGCAGAGGGATCCTTTGCAAACACCATTGCTAAAAATGTCTGTGTAAGATCCAAAGTTCTCCTGGGATACTGCACCCACAGAATCACAAGGGGCCAACGCCAGAAAAGCTGCGTCCACCATGCTGGCATCAGACCTAGGCTATACAGGCATTCTGCAGTGGTCGCTGTGCCTTTAATTCTAAGTACATAGGTCTTCTTCAAACGTCTCTTATCCAAAACCTCTGAAATATCTTATTTCCCCCAATATCAAGTGGCAAACACTCTATAACTGGATATAATTGAATTTCTATGTAAATGAAATTACATTTTCATTTATGTTTCAATTGAAGCTGAAAAAGTCACTATGTCTGGCTTATTAAAAACAAAAAGATTGAGTAGAATGAGTTTTCTTACATGGACTAAAGATAGAATTCTCAATTATATTTATACTTTTCAATTTAGTGACATGATTATAGTGAATCAGACTTGTGATGTGTCTAAAATGTCTAGAGTTTTCTTACTCAGCCAGCAACTTTTTAGTCTTCTTTCCTTATTAAAAGCTCATGAACTCACTGTCTCACTTTTCCTTTTCTACCCCTACATTGATATCATAGTAGTCACACATTATCGTGACAATTAGAGGCGATCACTACTCCTTTTAGGACAACCTTGTTGAATGTAACTTTCATGATGTCTGGACATCATGAAGGCACTTACCTCTTATGACTGCTTTATTTATGTTTAAAATAATTTTAAAAGTTCTTACTTTCCCCTGGATCTTTGTCATGAGACATTTTAATTCCTCTGGGGTGATATTATCGTAGAAGTTGACAAAGCTCAATTGACACAGAGACTCCAATAATTCTAGGTACAGGGTCATGCAATTAACATACATATAACAGCCTGACTTGGTGTAGCTCAGGGTTGAGAGTCATCCTATGAACCAGGAGGTCACTGTTCGATCTGGTCAGGGCACATGCCTGGGTTGTGGTCTTGATCCCCAGTTGGGGCCTTGCAGGAAGCAACCAATCAATGATTCTCTCTCATCATTGATGTTTCTATCTCTCCCTCTCTCTGCCTCCCCGAAATCAATAAAAATGTATTTAAAAAATACATATAACATTGCTTGAGTAAACAAATAAATGCTCAGGAACATATAATTAAGTTAAGCATCCCTTTTATTTACTAAATTAATTTTAAATGACTCATGAGTTTAATGTTACATTACATGTAAGCAATCTAAGATAAATTTTTAAAACATGCCCAGAAATTTATGTGGGTCTTATAATCACTTATTAATATATATACAGTTTTTTAGATGTGCCAAACACTTCATGCTTATCAGTGCACTTAATCTTTACAACTTAAAGTTAGTTTCTATTATCCTCATTTCACAGATGAAGAAGTTAAGGTACTGGAAGGTTAAATAACTTGGCCAAAGTCATGTAACAAACAGTGGCATAGTCAAGATTCAAACACATGACACCTGACTCCAAATTCATGTTCTTAACCGGTATGCAATACTGTGCTTAACACTTATTCCCAGCAGTTTCCCATCCGTGTATTACCCAAGAGCCTGACCTTGCTGAACTTCTGTCAGCTGAGTTGTGACTGATTCACGTAGCTTTGCAGGATGGAATTTACAATTTTGCAATAACACCTAAAGCTCCTACAGTTTTGCAATAACTACCCAAATTAACTGACAGAAGGTCTTGATTTAGAAATGCCAGATTTAGCAAATAAAAATATAGGCTGTTCATGTAAATTTGAATTTTAGGTAAACATCATTTTTAAAAATATAAGTATGTTTCATGTAATATCTTGGACATACTTACACTAAAAACATATTTGTTATTTACCTAAAATTCAAATTTAATTGGGTGTTCTGTATTTTCTCTGGCAACCCTATCCTGACTTCATTTCTTTCTCTAATGTTATCCACTGAACAGGAAGGGAATACCCTTATGCAAATTTGAAAGCCCATCTTAATCATCAGGATGATCCCAAGAATAGTGCAGACTCCTCAGCCAACCAACTTCCCTGTGGTGGCAACTCCTCAGGTCCAGTGTCTGTGTGTGACTTAATGGTCTGATTTGCAGGGAAGCCTCCATTCCAAAGGTTTACTCCATGCCTTTATATTTCAGTTGAAGCCCGAGTCACACATCAGCAAAAATTACCAAAGCATCAGCAAAAACTGTCACAAACTCCTAATGGTCATTCTCACTCCCACCATATTCCTGGTACAATAAAACATTCAAAATTTCATATAAAGACCTTCGTATTTCTCATTCTATTGCTTTCTGGGTGTTCAGTTTGCATCATTAAATGTAGAGACCAGATAGATGTTGTCTTTGAACGTCTGAGGACAGAATTGGGTCCTGGATGCTTTGTATCTGACTGTCCTAAAGCCTATATCGGGGATCAGGCCAAAATGCATGATTCCATGTAAAATTAATTACTGGGTGAGCTTCCCATTACTGAGTTCACAGTGGCCTTGGAAAATATTGTCCTTCGAGGGATGCAAAGTCAGTCATGCAAAGTGCTATTTAATTGCTGCATTGAGCTTAAAAGCAGCCAACTCTATCATATTAGCCCTGTGTTGGTCACATCAGCAACTGCTGAATAACTTGTTGGCTGATTGACTGAAGGGCTATTGGAAAGGTACTGGGTAATTCTCTTTGCTATTAGATCAGATGTCCTTTTCAAGGGTGAACCCAGCAGGGCCCTAGAAAGCAATTGGGGGGAGCTGCTGAAAACTATTCATGAGAGCAAAAGAGAAGAGAATCACATTATCTGCACTCTATGCTGGATGCATAAGCATTGGAAATGGAGTTGTCACAGCAGTGAGAACAGAGAAAATGGCACAGGATTGCAAGTTTGGAGCTTGAGTTTTGGTCCTCTGCTAATAACCCTGTGGGAGGCCATGGGAGAGTTCATTCTCTCTGAAAGTTTAGCTAAATGTTTTCTAAGGTCACTTCTTTAATTTATAATTTTTCAACTGACTCAGACTTTTATGCATTTTATCAGGAAGAAGTTTTAGCCTTCTGCCCCGTCTCAAATATTGATTTGCCGCTTTTATTCCTCAACTTTCTAAGCAGATCACATACTTGAAAATGTGATATCAGTTCTCATGAATATCCCAATTATTAAGGGAGTTCAGCTAGTTAGGTTAATCAGTATGGCCCTGGTGCTATGACATAATTGATCCTTTTTAGTTATTCATTCTTTTATTCAGTACATGCTGAAATTTTAGTCAGTAAATATTTCATACTTATTAAGAACCTACTACATGTTATGCACTGAGCCAGGTGCTGGTGAGAAGGTCCCCAGCTATAGAGCTATCATCTCAGTAGAGAAATAAGAATGTAAACAGAATTTCAACAAATTGTAGGTGTTATAAAAGAAGTGTTGGTGAAGAGCCATGGTAGGCTAGAGGGAACGTGGCCATCGCCTGTCTGAATCAATCAGAGAAAACTTGCACAGAGGAGGGACTGTTTGAGCTGGACTTTGAAAGATGAGGTTGTCAGATGAAAGAGTTAGGAGAGGCATTCTGGGCAGAAAATACAATATTATTCTGCAATTATAAGCACAACTAATGTGAGCTTCAAGGTAAAGCGAGGTTGAGAAGGCTAAAGAGGCCAGATTTGATGGCCAAAATGTCCCAGAATAAAGAGAAAATTAAGTAATATATGTAGAAAAAAATTTAAATAAGTATGTATGTTTTGATGCAAGGGTTGAGATTAAGAACATGAGCTCCTGCCCTACAAAAAAAACCAATCATATTGAATAGCACGGAGAACACCATGACCTTCCATAGGCCAGTCTTTAGAACAAAAAATTTTGTTGTTACATCAACTAAAGATTCTGTATGGAGTTTCTCACTTTTCTTAACATTTGGTCTTCACAAAGCTTACTTCTCATTGATGCCCAAACTATAGTTCCCTTCTTTCCCCAGCAAGTACTTGCCATGGTGTGACATCATTGATTACTACTTGCAGTGCCTTGTCTATTCATCTGTTTATTTGCTTTGAACTTGAAAAAATATTTTTCTTTGTGCAGACAATATTTCTTGAATTTATGTTTCCATTCTTGAGTAATGAGTTAATTTCATATGTACTCCAAACTTGTCAGTTCCTGGCACAGTGTTTGGCATAGCAAAGCCAAAAATCACATATTACCAGCTTGGAGTAGGAACCATCTTTTCTCCTTACATTGCACTAACCTTCACATCTCATATATCCAGGGGCCTTACTATCCTTCAATGAATAGTGGTCAATTTTTCTATTTCATATATGTATTATATTTTATAGCTTTAAAAGCTCTGAGGTTGGCTTCAAAATCCTAAAGAAACCCATCTCTCTCTAAATATATTAGAAGGAGTTAAGGTGCTGGAATAGAAACAGATGGAGGGAAAAAGAAATATAATTAGAAGTCAGCAGAAACTGTGGCTTTCCTATTTGTACTGCATGGTTCCTTTCATTGACTATAATGTATGAGCTTCAGTATAATATGTAATGTGGTCATCAATTTTAATTTTGCCAGCCTTTCATTTGACTGTTGCTGCCATTCCCATCCAAATCTTCAAAGGACACTGTCAGGATGATTATCACAGTCACCAGATCTTTCTTCTATTATAACACTGAATATGATCAACCTATTTTTTCTTTGCAACTTGGGATCACAGAGAGTTAGTATGCTCACTCTGATAACCATCTTTTTCCAAAAGTACAGCTTTTAGGAGCGTAATCACAATTACTTATTCTCTAAGTAACTCAGTTGATATGATAATTAATAATACTAATATGGCTCATTTTAGGGAAATATTTAATTCTATTCCACGTTTAAATGGTTAGAGCACATTGAATTGCACCCCCTGCCTCTACCCAGTTAAAGCAAGGTTTGCATTCTCATTTGAAGACATAAGAAAAGAAAGTGCTCTCATGCTTGGCCAATTCACCGAAAGATATCTCTGATGTTTAAATGCTTTACCTGAAAACTCTTCCATAAGCATATAAAAGCTAGGAGCCTCCTTCTTTCCTCTGATGTTGTGCTTTGCACATGATCACAAACCAAGTTTATGCAGGAATCAGTAGTTAGTCCTAAAATTCATGAATAAATGTGATCCTAGTCAGTGTTTTAATTCAAGGGAGATGATTTTAACACAAATCTATATAGGCAGACTTACTGAATTACCAACCTTAGTGAATGTTTACATTCTCTTAGTTCACTTGAGATTCCCCCAAGAACTAAAAAATCAGGACATTCTTTTATTAGATTGGTAGTTATGTCTTTTTCTCTAAAATTTGAAGAAATTCACTTGGTGTCTGACTATAACATTACTATCTGATAAATGTCTTTCCCCTGGAATAATCAAATATACAAGTAATTTCCCAGTTATTCCAATAAAATTATGAAAGAAAACTAGGTAAACTGTGAGTTCTTGGCTTCCTACCATACATTCAAAGCTAAACATAAAATTTCTATTCTGACATCCTTGCTGGCTGCAATCTACTTCACTCACTAGTTACAAGTTATTGTTTTTCTCACCTAATTCTATTACTCATATAATTCTTAAAAGCTCTCATAAAATGAACATGCATATACCACCTTCTGTGCTTCTGAGATGAATTTATTACTGAAATTTATTAGCATTTAAGGACAGCAGAAAATACTCATTTGAACTCATAGTCTTGTTAATATAGTTGACAATATATGCCACACAGTTCAGTTCACTTTAAGCACTGTCAGACACACACACACACACACACACACACACACACACACACACACCATGATATTATAAATAATGGCATTCTGCATGGTAGACAATTACATTTTGAATAATTAGTCTCCATTAATATCCTCGTAGGTAGTTGTGTTTACAAATAAATGAAGACCAGCTTAATTGCAATATTCAGAATAATAATTAATGGCATGAGTTCCAAACTGACATGTAAGGCCTATTAAGTAAGGAATGTTTATTCTTGTTCACCACTGTACCTCAATACCTAGAGCAGTGTCTGAATTCTACTAGGTTTTTAAAAATATATATATTTGTTTAAAAAATGAATAAATAAATTATCTAGAAATACCAAGTGGGAAATAATTTTCTCCTTTTTAAATTCCTTTATAGTAGAGCAATATAGAGGATATATTTCAGAGGAAGAGAAAACACATATTTGACCACATGCATTTGATTCAGAAACAGTAGCTGACTTGAGCAGGACTTTAGATGAATATTGCCCCTTAATAGGAGAATCTATAATTACTTAAAAGTTGAAAATCACAGTGATTTCCAGTCGCTGAAAATTCTTACGTGCAGCAAGTTGCGGTAACCAAGGAGATTAGTGCGTGGGGGCTGACAAAGGGCAGAAGTGAATTCAGGTGAGCACATTGAGCTCAGACTCTCTGTGGAATGTGCATCTGAGCATGATGCACTTACCTGCTTAGATCTAAATATCACAGTCATCTGTCTGGTTGGAGATAATTGGTCTAATATACCTTGCTTGTGGAGAAAAGCACTCAATGTGCCTGGTCCATGGGAAAATAGAGTCCTCCACAAAGTGTTAAATCTTGGCCACTTATGCACTAGATCCATCGTTATGCTAACCCCCTCATTTTCTCTCTTTGGCTGAAAGTGTTGGAGTTCTTACAGCTTTCCCTTTTGTGTGAGATCAGTATAAAAACAGGATGATGGAAACAGGTTTTAACAAGACAACTTTCTAGCCAAGTAATTCATGTTATAAGACATGGAACTTGATTTTCCTGTTTATCCTGCTGGCCTTTAACCTGGCCTAGGTCCAAAAGTTTAAGTGAGGCTGACTCCATTGGGCCAAACTAACTCTGTAATCCACAGCCCCTAATCTTTCATCAGACCTGCTCCAAGAATCTTGCTGGGATTTCATGGTGCTCACAAGAACTTCTGAATAGATAGGGCCCACCTATTCGATTTTAAAAGTTAAATCAGAAGATATTTGCTGGCAGACTCAAAAAAGCATGTTTTGTAATTGCTAAAGAATCCTGCTACATCGTGGAATATGATGGTAAATGTATGGGGAACAAAGAGAAATAATAATGAAAAGGAAAACTAAAGTAGAAAAAAAAAGCCAGAGACTTAACACCTTTGGGATTTCTCCATCCTCCGGCTGTATCTGCCTGCTAACTCTGCCACTTGTTCACAGATGTGTGGATCTCAGCCCAGGTGACTACACAGTGCTAGTTGCACTGTCAACTCCAGCATCCCCTTTCCTCTCCGAGTACAGCCAGGAAGGTGTCACTGGGAAAGCTGAAATACTATCTGAGAAAAACAAACGAACAAAAAAAAGCACTAACTGGGACACAGCCTAGGGGAGGGAAGGCTGAAGAGAAGGCAAGCCATGGGATTCAGATCAGTTCACATGCCTGCTGGGCTTGCTGCACACTGTTCTTGGTTAAAACTAAACTAAACTAAACAGAAACCTGAACATTTTACTGATTGAAGGGAATTTAGAATTCATCTGGCCCAAGATCCTCACTTTATAGCTATGACATTTATGGCTGAGATATAACCCTTAGGACTAAATAACTGAACTTGAGGATCCACAACTACCTACAAAGGAGATCGATATGCTGAGGGCATGGCCAACTAACACTTTATAGATCTGTTTTTCATTATAGATCTGACTTTAGGTAGTACAAAGGCAGCAGTATATTTTAATATTTATGTATTTATTTTAATATATTTTTTAAATATAATCAGCACATCAATTTAGTAATGTATAATTTCCTGTAAGTGAAAATAGACAAATCCTATGATGTGCCAAAAAGAAATTGATCTCTTGGAAATGTAGTGTAGTAATTGCCCTGATCTGCATTGCAACATATCAGCCACCTCCTTAGAAGTGAATGGGATTGGGATGAAGGCAATTTGGAGCTTTTCTGAGAAGCCAGGAATGAGGAAGCCTTTTCTAACCTAAGGGGTCTTTCTTTTTAAGGGAAATTGGTTTAGTCACTGAGGTTAGGGGAATTCCTCTGGATGTATTCCTAGAAAAAAATAAATCCATCCTTCCTTGAAACTATGAGAAATTAGACAAATTCTTCACATATTTCCATCCATAAGTGTCTATAATTATTGAGAAAATGTAAAAAGTGATAATACTGCCAAAACAGTAACAATATACTAGTACTTAATGTCTATAACATATCACGTGGTACACAAATCAGGTATAAGTTAGGATCTCATCCTATATACTAAAAATGTAATATGCAAATCAACTGAATGGCTGAACAACCAGTCAGTGGGGTGGGGGGCCGGCGAGTAGGCAACGCCAGGCTGACCAAGGTGCATGCCAGCGGGCAGAGGGAGGGGATGGCGATGCGGGGGGGCAGTGACCAGCTGCAGCGGAGGGGTGATGGGGGGGTGGGGCCAGCCATGCCCTGATCTGCCACTTGGTTGCCTCCGGGAGCGGGCCTAAGCTGTCAGTCGGACATCCTCTGAGGACTCCTGGACTGCAAGAGGGCACAGGCCAGGCTGAGGAACATCCCCCTCACCCCCTCCCCGCCCCCCGTGCACAAATTTTCATGCACCAGGCCTCTAGTATTAGATAATACCAATCTTCTATCATAGCTTTTGGGTTGGATAGCAGTGAACCAGGAAACAGAAACCTGGAGCATAGCTAGGTTGGGTTTTATTTGGGGGTGGTTATCATTATTACCTATAGACTCACATTGCCCCTAAATTAACAGAAGTGCTAAACAATAGTATTTCAACAGTGAATCCCAGCCCCTCTGTGGTTAAAGTGACTGATGAATAGGTTCCCCTGAGTTAGGTCTTGTTTCCATTACCAAAGCTAAGCTTGATAGAGACTATTGTGGCACATTGTAGACATGGTTCTATATGGAAGTCAGCTAGACTGACCGCTTCCTACCACTGAACGTGGAAAGAAACCTGATAAGCAACTTTGGACCACTCCATTTTGGGGCAGCTGTAGTGTCTGTACCTCATTTTCAGACAGATTTTTCTTTTTCCACTGAAGAGATACAGTGGTGACATTGTGCCTAATATTTCTGCCCATAAACTCTTTATTCAACCAAGTTAAATGAATAAATAAATATTGAGAGAACATGAAAGAACAACTGTATTTGGTGATTGATTTTCATATATAACTACAGAACTCTGATTTTTGCAGGCCTGAGAGATTTGTGACAGGACTCAACAGATCCCCAGCTACTCTCAGAAAAATATGATCAGAATCCAAAAGTTCCTGTTTAGTCACTTCTCAAGAACAGCAGTTGCCTTCTAAGATTTATTCCAAGTCTCCTGGCAGGCAGAGGATACACTGTCATGCTTTTATTTTTTTATTAGTTTTAGGCCACTAAATATAATTTACACCAAAGCTCTGAGACCAATCACTCTAGGAAAAGTTTTATGTTACCAAGACAATGTGTCAACTGCTTTGTAAAATAATAACACTATTGATCTGTCAAAATATACTCTTGATGAGCAGGAAATATGTTATTAAATTATTAATGGATAGCTTCAACTGGCTTTCTCATGTCTAGCTATTCCTTTCTTATAAATATGAGATACAAAACTATATGTACAAGTCAACTTAAGATCCTACGTAGTTAATAAAGGACTTTGCTTCTTTTGAAGAGGTAAGTCAGGGGTTTCTTCTAAGATCAAAACTTCCAATAGAATTAGAGTAACAGACCTGGATATGGAGTAAGAAAATTATGCGTGAAACAAACAAACAAAATTCCAGAACTTACCCATGGTCACAAAGTATATATGTATAAGTTTATTATTAGGTAAAATTTCTCAGTAAAACTTTGTGATTGTGCAAATTATAAAGTTAAGTACATTTTTCTTTGTACATGAATCTCTAATTTGCCACAATAGTAGTAAGTCAGGCTAATCCATTTTCTTACGGAAATAATAAGCATTGCTTGAATTTAAGAATATGTTTTATGACTCATTGTCATAAAATGCTTATTTTAAGCATTTTAAAATGCCTATTTTTAAGCATTTTAAAAAGTAACATGTTTTTTGCAAAGTCATCATGTGGTTTAGATAGTAAATGGATTCTTTAGGTTATATCATCTAGTCATATTACCAAAA